ATAAACGCTCATATATGATTCAACCCTGTCTCTACTTGATTGGCTCAAGCAGTGATAGGTAGCCCGGACCCACTGGTTGTCTGGTTTCAAAAGGGCGTGAGAAACGAGGAGTGAGGGCTGGGGCCCAGAAAACGGGCCACTCAAGGCAAGGAGCGCCTTCTCTGGCCTTAAGGAATTGGGAAGGAACCAGCTATCCACTGAACCAGGGAGTATTGCTTCTTTTAAGAAGCGCCGGGCAATTGCATTTTATTAAATGATTTTTTCTATATCAACCCCCACATACGGAGTCTCTGGGGTGGAACCGTGAGATATACATTTTCCAGATCATCCCGGGCAGCTCTCATGCACACTGTGGTTTGAGAGTCTCAGCTTTAGCTATTTTCTCAGCGATTCCCCCGTTGTCCAGGCTGTGGGTCATCACGCCAGCGGCAGGTAAAAAAATGATGGTGTTGCCCACGTGGGAAGCCTGTAGTCTCACAAAGACCCCCCTGGGCTTGCCCATCCCCCCTGCCCCTCTCAGGCTGCCTGGCTCAGCCCGCTTGGCCGACACCAACTGCAGATCACTCCGGGGAGTGGCGATGGTTGGGTTTCTGACTTGCTGCCGGTGGTATCAGTGGCTCTGACTTGAGGGGTCACAGTTTGTCATTCTCTCCCTCCCGCAGGTCGCCAAGCCCCGGCTTTCCTTCCCCGATTTAGAGACGTGGCCTGAGATCTCTCCTCACCTCCTGACAGGATTCGAGAAATTCATCTAACGTCACGATCCCGTCTTTATTTTTGTCCATTTTCTGAAAGACACGAGAGGAAGCACTTGAAAGAACCTGGCATTCTGCATCCAGAAGCTGCCCTTTACTCACCAACGCTGCCCTGAGAAGGAGGGTGGTTTGTCACCGGCCGGAGAACTCCACCGGGCCCTGGGGGGAGCACCTGACCCCAGGAGCATCCTTACAATGAAAGACACGCTCCGGACTCTCATCACTTCATCACCGGCCCCGCCTGCTGACACCCTCACGTGTCTCCTGCGATCTTCCAGCCTGGACATGAGAGCTCTACTTCTGTCACTGTCGCTATCACTCTGTGACCCTGAGTGAGTCTCTCAGCCTCTGTGAGCCTGCTTTTCCCATCTGCCAAGTGAGAGGATTCTACTAGTGTGACTGGCGTTCTCTGATACTCTACTGCTAGGTGCGTTTTTTACTAAAATGCCACGGGGACCTTGCCACACTTCTACTCACGGATTAACAAGGATCAAGTCTTCCACCTGAAGACCTCCCAGTCCATCCACCGCAGTTCCCAAGCCCATTTCCCTCGCTCTCTAGACACCCGTGCTCACCACCTGCACACATGTGCTTACCACCTGCACACATGTGCTCACCACCTGCACACATGTGCTTCATGACGTCTTCCCTGTGGACTCAGACCCCCCAAGAATCTCATGGAACTGAGAGGGTGCACGATCCCACGTATACTTCCCTGTGTTCTTCTGTAGTGTCTACACGCCTGCTTAATGAGACCACCCATTCCCGGAGAGCAATCCCTTTGTAATTCTTTCTGTTCCCTACAAGTGTGCGGGACAGGGTTGGACACCGGCCACTGCTCAGATGCTGTGGGCTGACGGGTCTCAGCTGAGCTCGCGCTCCCGCCCAGGTGTGTACACTTACCTGGAAGAAGACGTCCACGTGCTGCCTGGGGGTGTCCTCCTTGAGCACGGGATACGTGTATTTCCCCATCATGTCGTAGATGGCCTTGACGATGTCCATCATCTCCTGCACAGGGACACGGAAGCACAGGGTGGAAACCCTGAGGTCAAGCTCTTCTTAGGTGATGGTTTGGGGCTCCTCATCCCCCTTAGGAATGAGAGTGATCACAAGGACCTTCTTTAGCTGGGGAGGGGGAGTTAGAAAGCAGACTAGTGGGGCACCTCCTCCCAAGAGGACAGTGGGAAATTCTCTTTGCCTCCAGAAGCCCTTGGGTAGTTGCCTTTTCTTGAGCGTTACCCTCCGTGAGGGTTAATGTTGGGATGGGGGTGGACCTGTTTATGTACCGGTCAGCCCACACTCTGTTTCTGGAAGGCCCTCTCCCCACTCTTTAATTCCTGGGTGGCTGGATTTGTACCCGGTGACCTGTCCCTGTGGCCACAAGTGACCCTGACCACAGCTGACTGCAGCAGAGGTGGAAGCTGACTGAGGCTGAGCTACTCTGTATAGTGTTCTATACATGCTGCTCTATAAAGTGACTTTCCCAATGCAATGCATCATACACGTTCTCCATCGTGTTACTCTTACGTGATGTTAGCTGGCCACCCGGATTTCCATGGTATGTAGTCACTGGAATTCAGGTAACACACTTGCTATGGGGGATATTAAGGTTTTCCCATTTTTGGGGTTGCTCACCAATTTATCTTCAGCCTCTGGAACACCTAATAAGCCCTCAAATATGTGTTGGGCAAAGGCATGACTGAATGAATGAGGAATAAAACACTGGAGGGAACCTTGCAGGGCTGAGGTGAGGGTTGGCGCTCAGGAAGCGGATGTTATGGATGCTACATCCAAGCTTCAACCAAGATGCTGGGCACAGTAGATACCCACGTGCGTTTTGAGGTGGACCTGAGGGCCTTTCACTGGCTAGACGAGTGGTTCTCAACCTTCCTAATGCCGCGACCCTTTAATACAATTCCTCATGTTGTGGTGACCCCCAACCATAAAATTATTTTCGTTGCTACTTCATAACTGTAATTTTGCAAGAGGAAAGCAAAAATTGTATTTACATTACGATTCATAACTGTAATTATGAATCATAATGTAAATATCTGATATGCAGGATGTATTTTCATTGTTACAAATTAAACATAATTAAAGCATAGGATTAATCACAAAAACAATATGTAATTATATATGTGTTTTCCGATGGTCTTAGGCGACCCCTGTGAAAGGGTCGTTCGACCCCCAAAGGGGTCGTGACCCACAGGTTGAGAACCGCTGGGCTAGACAGCCACCACATGGACTCCGAGGCTCCAAACGTGTCAAGCAGTGAAGGTTCAGAAATTATTTGTGACCATTTCTTTAGAAACGGCTTCACCCATGCTCACCCCCTTCTGCGGGTTTATTGCAAAATAGGTTGTGGCCCATATGATCCAATTGTGGTCTCCTCTTCACCCCAAATCTCCCTTTTCTCTTCAAGGAGAAAACTGCAAAACTATTCCAACTTTTGGCTCTCACTGTGACTGTTCACCTGTTAAAATGCAAGCTCCCCTGGGAAGAGTAATTCTACACTGAAACAAACCACTTTTGCCTACTTAGAAATCCGCATCGAATGTGTGTGAGCCAGTGAGAATGAATGGATCTATTTAGCCCTTTCTTAGTGCCTGGGAAAGGGGCAGCGTAGGGCAACGGGGAGGGCAAAGGTGAACTTCTTCGTTTTGCCGGATACCAGCTCTGTTCGCCCCAAAGCAGATCCCTCCTCATTGGGACAACTTCCTCACCATGACTGGGCTGTTTCCTATTTCATGAGATGCCTTCCGGTGGCCCCTCATGCCCTTGGCCTCAGCCCGCTCACCTCTTTGTTTATGTATCCATCCTTATTGATGTCATACAAGTTAAATGTCCACCTTAGCTTCTCATGGACGGTTCCTCTCAGCAGAATCGACAGAGCGGTTACGAAGTCCTGAGAAGTGGAAGAGGCATGAGTGATAGTAACACCAAGCCGTCGGCTGGGGTGCAGCTCTGTCTGTGGGTCCGACTCTGACTGATTTGACACCATGGTGTCTCCCATGACCTCTGTCCCCGGAAGGATATGGCCAAGCTCAGTGAAGAGCAGCGCCCCCCCCTCCCCCTTCATTCCCCATCCGGCCCCACGTTTTGGGAAGGAGCCCCCTTGGGGAGGAATGGGGCTCTGTGCCTGCTGATACCTCCAGACACAGGCCACAGCCTCCCTGGTACTGCCTCCTCCCACGGCTGCGGTGATTGTGTGGGTGGTGGCATAGGCTAGTGCAGTGGTTCTCAACCTTCTGGCCCTTTAAATAGTTTCTCATGTTGTGACCCAACCATAAAATTATTTTCGTTGCTACTTCATAACTGTAATGTTGCTGCTGTTATGAATCGTAATGTAAATATCTGATATGCAGGATGGTCTTAGGCGACCCCTGTGAAAGGATTGTTTGACCGCCAAAGGGGTCGCGACCCACAGGTTGAGAACCGCTGGTCTAGTGTCTAAGAGCGTGGACTCTGGGAACGTCCTACTTGAGTTCAAATCCCTCCTTTGCTGTGTGATCTTGGGAAAGGCAGGCAGCCTTACTTCCCTCTTCTGCAACTGGTAGTACATACTAGCCCCTACTCTGCAGGGCTATTGTGAGGGTTCAGGGAACTGATACACGCGAAGCACTAAGCACAGAGCCTGCGTGTGCTCGCTCCGTGTGCACGGGGGCTACCAGACTGCCACCATCGGTCCCTCAAGGCCCTGAGCTCCAGAGGCAGGGCCGGCACCGCTTCTCTCTCTACCCAGGACATGCTTGTTAAACAGATAGCGGTTTTTTGTCTTCCCTGAGGGCATCTGATGACCAACCCTTTCCTCAACACCCCGTGACTCAGAGCAGAGGAGACGGGGACCCGGGGAGTCCCAGAGTCACACGCACCTCGAACTTCACGGAGCCGGTCTGGGTGGTGTCGAAGGCGTGGAAGAGGTAATGGGCGTACGTGCTGGCATCTGCAAGGCAGAGGAGAGGCAGGTGAGGGGAGCAGGGCGCCGAGAGCGGGCTGAGAGCACTTAGGACAATAAGAAAGAGAAGAGGATGGTGCTGGGGGATGGAAAGGAGACGCTATGGAGTGGCAAGCCCACGGGCATGAACCGGATCCGCCTGGCTCTCCTGGGGTTCAGGTGGGAAGTCCTGGCGCGAGCTGAGACAGGCCCTGCACCTAGCCACCCCCAGAGAAAG